CGCCGCCGCCGCCGCCGCCGCCATTTTCAAACCGCCGCCGGCGCCGCCGCCGCCATTTGTGACCGGGCTGAGGCGGCTCCGCTCCCGCTCCCAGTCCTGCTCCCAACCCCGCTCCCAGCCCCATGGAGGCAGAGCCCCCGGGCCAGAAACCCCCTCGGCGGAGACGCAGCAGGGCCAGCAGCCCGCCCCGCCCGGCGGACGGCACCCCCGGCGCGGCCGCCTCCTGCAGCCGGTAGGAGTCGCGATCCCCCCGCGCGTCCCCCCCCCGTGAGGGGCTGAGGGTGACCCGCGGGCCGGGGGTGCCCTCAGGGGACACCCCGCTCCGCTCCCCTCGTTCTCCCCTCAGCTCCCCTCCCGCCTTCCCCGGCTGGCTGTGGGGGAGCCCTCACGCTCCTGTTTTCCCAGGGAAATCCCCTCCTTCCCGCCGTCCGGCACCTGCTCTGGTGTCATGAAGGGGATTCCTCTCCTCCAGGCTCTGGGAGGATCCACCAGCCCAGGTTGTTCCAGCCTGGCCTTGGACACTTCCAGGGATCCAGGGGCGGTTCTCTGGGCAACCTGGGCCAGGGCCTCCCCCCCCTCCCAGCCAGCCATTCCTTCCCAATATCCCACCGAAATTCCCACCCCTGTGTGCCAAACTTTCGTGGAAAAACCTCCCCCATATCCCCTGGGTTGCCCGCATCCCTTTGGGAAAACGAGGAGAGGCTTCTTGTTGCTCCTTGGGGTGGGAATAATTTGGAGGCGGGGTGTGTTTTATATCCCCTGGAGACACGGGCTGGGGATCCCTGAGCCCTGCGGGCTGGAACATTGGATCATCTCCCTCTCCTGGATGTGGGAAGACCCTCCAGCATCAGCTTTGCCTTTTATTCTGATTTTTAAACCCCTGCGTGTGCCATCTGTTACTGTTATTCTGGTATATCGACCTCTATGCAGTAGATACATATATAAAATATATATTGATATATTGACCTTTATATTATATTATACCATAACATGTAGTGTATATATATATTCTGATATATTGACCTCTATAATATATATATAGAATGTAATACTCTATATTGACCTTTATGTTATATCTAATGTATTATAACATGTATATATATTCTGATATATTGATCTCTATATAATATATATATATAGAATGTAATACTCTATATTGACCTTTATGTTATATATATTATAACATATATATTTTTTTTCTGAGATATTGACCTTTATATAATATATATAAAAATATATATATTCTGGTATATTGCCCTATATATAATATAGGTATAAAATATACCTTCTGATACATTGACCTATAATATGTATAAAATATATCTTCTGATATATTTTATATATGATATATATAATATATATAAAAATATATATATTCTGGTATATTGCCCT